CGAGGCCGCGCCCGCGAGGGGGGGAGGGGGGAGGCGGGGCTGCAGCGATTTGCATCCCGGTTTCGGCCTCCTTCTGTGGGGGGAGCTCCGCACTGCGTCTGGCTCCCTCCCCCCGGGTCGGGGAAGGGGGCCCACCACAGCGCCGGGTACGCCGCGTCTGCCACACCGCCGTCGCTTTCACGTGTGCCGGGTCCCTCGTCCGCGCCTCTTTCCCCCCCCTCCTCCTCCTCCCCTCAGCGCCAAGGCAACCGACTCGGGAAGGCGAGAACGGCCTCTTTAACTGCTGGGCGGCGGATCAAAAGTGATGAACTGGAGGGACGTCCTTAGCGGTCCTTTTTTGCAGCCGCCTCCGGGGACCCCCCCCTCCCCGCCGAGGCGTCTTCGCTCCTTTCGGGCCGCCGCTTTTTATCTCCAGCCCCTTCGATTCCCTCACTTCTTTCAAGTTAGCCATTTAAAACAACAACAAAGTCTCCCAGATGAGATAAACGCACGCCCTGCCCCTGCCTTGCCTACTCTGTTGGACTTAAGTGTGACGAAAAGGTGTGTCTCCCTCACTTTTTTACTACTTCCGAATAAAGTTAAATTGGGTAAGGGCCTCGGTCTAAAAAACTTTTCACCTGTGCCCTGACGTGGATCGCTTTCAGGACCGGGTGTGCAGGATCTTGTGCCTATAAAGGCTCTGCAGTCTACGTCTTGTCCCCATTTAATCTGAAAACCTAATGTAGACAATTTCCATTTCTTTCCACGCAGAAGCATGGTTTTAGACAGAATAGTGCTCTCTAGGGCCGAGCGGCAAAAGGCTGCTTGCCAGAGCCGTCTTATCATGTTAAACAAGTGATGCATTTTGCCTCTGTGCTTTCTGTGCCATATATCTGGATGTGAAGAGTGTGGCTTTTGAAACTCCCATGGTCTGATAATGTTCTGTTCCTGTCTGTGCTCTTGGCCCACTTTGTGGAACTGGTTCATGCTTTCATGACTGAAGTCACAATTTCTATAAAGAAGTAAGTCACTTGATAGTGGCTAATAAGCTTTCTGCTTCATTCAGTTCCTGCTTCAGTGGCTTTAATTTGGTCACTTCCGTTTGCAGCTTATCACTGTTGTGAAATCATATCCCATTTTTAAAATGTATTCAAATCAATGTAACATTATTTGGTGTGTTTACAGTCTTGTAACACTATACAGTATAGTGGTTTCATTAACAGGTTATTCCTTTTAAGTTATTGGTTGCTGTAGCTTGTGCACATATATGTGGATGGATTAATGCCTTGTTAGCATGCTTATTTGGCAGTAGTATACAGTATATGTTATCTTAATGTGACTTGTAGGTATGAATCATTAATATCCTGAATGTGGCCCATAGACACCAAGCTAGACTAGTAATCTTTGCAAGGAATTGCCTGTTTCCGGTTTAAGACATGAGCATGCCCCATTTGCAGCTTTTTCCCAGTCAGTGTATTGAATTACTGTTTTGCAAATTCAGATTTCTGAGAAAAACAGGAGAGGTTCATTGCGCGCCCCCCCCCCCCATTTCTTGGATTAAGGCTTTGGTTCAGGACCAGGTTATAGTGATGAGTTTGAAGTTACTGTAGCAACCTTGAAATGCAAACCTGAAGCTTGGATAGCATGGATAGATTTTGTCTAGTTTTGCTGGCCTTTATCAAAGTACTTAAACAAAATTGATTCAGAAGCCCTAAGAGAAAGAACAGGTATTGGGTCCTTTTGATGAGTGATGATGAGTACCAATTTTTTGATGAGTACCAATTCTCAACTGACATAAAATCACTTTAACTTAAGTGAAACCTAGTCGCTTTCAGTGTACCTTTACCATGATGTTCATATAATCAAATACAGTACATTATTGTTTTTCTTTATGAAAAATCTAATTAATATAAAACTTGCATGGAGTTTGAACGTTCTGCATACATTGCTGTGAGGCTTCACTGTATAGTCATATATATTTGTGGTACAGATTGCTTCTACTTTGGAACTCCCTCCCACAGGAGGCTTGGCTGGCCCCATCTTTACTGTTCTTCCACAAGCAAGCAAATTCCTTTCTCTTCAGGCAACCTTTCCCTTAGTGACTAGCTGCCTAAGCAGGAGTTTTAAATGGATCATTGTACCTTGCTGCTCTGAATGTGTTTTGGTGTTGCTTATGTTTTTTTGGTATAGTATTCATTTGATCCTTTTTAGTACAGTATTTGTTGTTAGCTGTATAGTAATTATGTAAGCTGTCTTGGGTCCTTTTTAAGGAGAAAGGCGGGGTAAAAATATTTTAAATAAACACATTTTTATTTCATTATTTATAATTTTATTTGTTTTCAAATCAAACCCAACTTAAAGCAACGTTAACAGGGTATTCAGAGTGAGCTATTTAAGGATTGGTTTTACCAGTACTCCACTCTTAATAGGTTTTCATGGATGAGTGGGGTTTTGCACCCAGACTTCTTTAATCCTACTTCATCACTGTATCCACTATATTACACTAGATATTTGTTTATAATTGACTTATAAAACTAGCAAGTGTTAAATGAGGTGTTAGTACTTGGAATTTAGAATTTGGAATTATTTTATCATATATCATCTGATGAGTGATTAGATAGGTGTCTTAATTTCTAAATTATTATGTAAAACAGAAAATGTAAGGATTCCCAGTGTGATGGAGTGGATAGGTCGATGGACTAGGCCTCTGGAGAACAAGCCATGAATCCCCACTTGGCCATAGAAACGCACTGGTGGAATAGAACTGCTTCTTAAATATCTCACTTACCTTGAAAGCCTTATTAGAGTCTCAGTAAGTTGATTCCAACTTGACAATACAGAACACATTCACAAGGCAGAAAATAGGAATGAAGGTAAAGCTAATGACAAGGCAGAAAATAGGAATGGAGGGAAAAGCTAATAAGGCACTTCATTCAAGTCTTGCTTCTCTGTAGCCTCTTACCAGAAGTTAGTTCAGCACAGAAAATGGGATTAAATATGTGTTTGCTCTCCCAGCCAAGCCAAGAGATATATAAAAGACTGCAGAACACACAGTACTGCATATTGAAATTAAATACACTGTAGGGAATGTGTAACTTTTAGAAATGTCCAATCACATTTCCAGTTTGTCATGTAATTATTGCCAGATTCCAGTTAAACATTAGATTCTCTCTGAAACTAACAACATGAAGTTGTAGTTTTAAAGCATCAGAGGGAGACAAAAGGCCTGCAAGTTGCAGAAAGCAATGACCAGAGTATCCTTTTGGATAGATTGAAAGGCTGAGCATGCACAACTCTGTTCACAAAAATTATCAGGGGGAGGAACCCTGCACATAATCTTAAATTGTGCTGTCAGGCAGTAAGGGTGAGCATGGTTGAGCTGTGTGGGAACAGTTGAACTCAGTGCTGTCAAATTTAATTTATATGTAAGTACTGTAGATAAGTGCAAGGTAAGTCCCAACAGATTGGCATTGGAAAATGAAACATTGCTACATGAGAAAACTGATATGAAACTGAAAACAAAAATTAGAAGTGTAATATCTTTCAAAGATGCTTGAGGGCTCACAGTAATGAACCTAATACAATGGTGCCTTGATTTATGAACTTAATCCGTTCCAGAAGAACAGTCATAACTTGAAATGGTCGTAAGTTGAAGAACCATTTCCCATTGAAATTCAGTGAAACCCCATTAATCCTTCCAGCCAATAATAATAATAATAATAATAATAATAATAATAATAATAATAATAATAATAATAATAATAATAATAATAATAATAATAATAATAATAATAATAATTTATTGTCATTGTAAGTATATACACNNNGGTCTGAAAAAAAATCAAACCCCCTACACACACAGCCAAACCCATCGGAGCGCGATGCGGCTGAAAAGAAAATAAATTTTAAAAATCAACAACAAACAGACCAAGCCCCATTGGAAAGCCATGGGGCTGAAAAACAAACAAACCACCAGACACACCAAAAACAGCACAAAAACATAACCCCCCCAACCCACCCTGCAAAACAAAGTAAATTTACTTACTCAGGAGCAGACAGCAGCACCAGGCAGTCCCAAGCCTCCTCCGATGTACACACTCTAACCGTTGGGGTGAAAGATCTACAAAGAAGCTCTTTGTCAACCAACAGTTAATCCTGTAATTTGAATTCCCCGCCTTTTTCCCCTGCGTCTTTTGTTTGCAACTTGAAGCTCCAGCCGCAAGTCAAAGCAAAATTTTGCAGCTGGAGCTGGTCACAACTTGAAATGGTAATATGCCGGGACGGTCGTAAGTTGATGCACCACTGTACGCAAATACACTTCTTTACCTTGTCATAAAGGGTCAGCCTAATCTGCT